CCCCCCCTCCCCCCCAAGTGGCGGAACGCCAGGGCCCGGTCACAACTGCGACCGCTGTGACCCTGGTAGTTCTGCCAGTGCCTGCACCCAATTCATCCTTTGCTAAATATGCTCCAAGATGGAGGCTCTCGTAGATTAGAGTTAGGACCAGAAAAAGGTATGATAGTAGAACCTATTCGAAAAATAATATTTTTCCTTCATTTGCCTGAGTAAGAACGTAGCTAAGGAAAACACAGATTGAGTCTGCAGGGGGAAGGGTTTGAGGTTCATACAACAAGTATCAAAGGGCCTCATGCGACCCCAAAGGCCGCAGGTTGAGCATCAAGGATCCAAGCTATTCTAATTATTAATTTCTCTTACCTCTACATCTGTAGTGATTCATGACTGTAGGTACTTCTGTTGCAGTCCAGTTGTTTGACATTTTAGTGTCTGCACACACTGGCCCTGGATGCAGAAACAAATCTTGAAAAATCTTGTTGCTGCCAAGAGTCACATTCACATCAGGTTCCTGCCAGACAGGAGAGTGAGGGAGCAATTTATTCTACAGTGTCAAGTGCAAGCAAATGCTGCAGTCCCATTCATTTAAGTTTTGATGCAGAGCAAACCAAAGCCGACAACTCCATGACTGCTTGTTGCTCTGATCACTCCCTGAAATACCCAGGGGCATTGGTTTGTGCTCCCTTTTTCTCAAATGATACTTTAAATAGGGATCAACACTGGTAATATAGGACCGTTACTGATATTTTTTATATTTAACAGACCATATGAAATTTCTACAATGAAGCTGTGTATTTTATTATTATAAACAGTAACTGAGCTCCGGGCACTTGGCCTAGGCTTTGATGATGTCATCAGTTTGCTGGAGGCAGGACAAAGCATTTCCTTAGGCCTAGATCACACCTGTGTACATGTGACCGAGCTCACATGTATGCACATTTTAGGTGTGCTAAGTGCAGCATGTTTTGGCAGCCCATTCATTTCAGTGGACTTGCCAACGTGCAAAAAATCTCACCAAAGAAGTGCATGCACCTTTTTTTTTATGTGCCACACCAAAACACATGTAACATTTGTACCATGAATGGAGGTCTGAATAGGGTCTTCGTCTCCTCTTCCCCAGTGATCAGACTGCAACATTGTAACCAGTTCATGAACGAATCGTTCTTTTGAATCGATTCACTGAACTGGTGGAGTCGATTCACTGAACTGGTGGATCAGATAGATCGCTAAGTGTGAACGGGGCCTTAGAATCGAAAGAATCTACTAGTTAAAATAATCGAATGAGTTAACTTAGTTAGTAGACTAATTTGATTCTTTAACTCAGTAAACTCTTTTCGATTCCTTGAGTTAAAGAGTCCCCACCAGTAGAACAATACACTGAATCAATTAGCAGGTTGCAACAGTGATAAGGGACAGAGAGAGTTTAGATTACAGGAGATCCTCATTCAGATTGATGGTTTAACCCTTTAGGATCAAATTGGCTTCTCAAGGAGATATATATATATATATATATGTTAAAGGTACAGGCATCCCTTCTGAAACATCTGTCTCATTCAGTAGCTATATAACTAAATGAGAGCGCTGTCTTTTTTTAATAACCTAAAAATAAATTTAAACCTCCTTTTTAATTATATTATTTACCCCTCCAGTCCTGAGTTTTTCACAACCCTGGATACTTGGATTTGTTTAGTTCTCACAACCATGACCTCTACAGTGGGGCAGATAATTACACATTTACAACAACAAAAAAACATTTTTTTTTTTTTGGTTTTAGTTTTTATTTATTTTATTATTTTTCACTTAACATTGTTTCACTTAAATGTATTGATAGCGTTAGGATCAATGTTCCCCAGGAGCTGCCTGATACCCTTCTCTGAATCAGAGTCCTCTATGAAGGTTCAGACAGCTCCTGCGCTTCGGTTCACTTGCTTGTCAGCCGACTCAGCAAGTGAATCGAAGATTCGATTCATGAATCGGTTCTTTTGAATGAACTGATTAAAATGAACCGATTCATTTAACAGATCCGAACTTCCCATCTCTAGCAGAAACAGGGGGTTGATCTGTGTCAGATAATTACCAAGAACTTTACAGGCATCAGAATTTGCATGATTGTGTCATCTCTGAAACAACATCTCAGTCCTGGAAGTAAATGCCGAGTCTTAATAGTGCCTGAACAATAATGGCTCCATCTTTCTGGAAAGAAAAGCAGATGAAAATATTCTAGAGAAAGTGCTGTGATCTCTGATCTCTAATAATCACCTACGTGTGTTAGGCAGCTTGTGTTAGGCCCCCATCCTGAGAGAGATCAGCATATGGTATCCCAATAGCTGGAGGGCCAGACTGCAGGCCTCCTGCTATGTCATACAATACCACATGTGCTTCAGCACCAAGGGGCCCAATTTTAAAGCAGCAGCAGAGAGCTAACAATCACCAGGCTCTTCGACATCAGTAGTACCCCAGGAGGTGATGCTGGTAATGTGAGGAGGGAAAGTCATTGGCAAATTATATGGCTGCATTTTATTCGCACAAAAGAAGTCAAGCAAGCAGCACTGTTTCTTTCATTACTGGTACACTGCTAATACTTTGCCTAAAAGTAAAGTGAAAGTAAAGTACTACCCTAGAAAAAAGTTTCATTTCAGAGATTAAATGTCATGGTTTGTTTTATCGGCTTCAATTTTTATGCATGCATTTTTTTCTAAATAGGTATAAACGACCCATATGATTTGAAATGAAGCCACCAAAGCCCATTGTCATGAAAGGACTTTTGAAGGAAGATATTCTATTGTGGAAAAGTTGTATATAATTTACATAATTTAACTTATCAATTACATTTAGACATTTCATGTTATTGAAAAGTACCTCTTCATTTTAATCTTTAATTGCTGAGATTCTCTAAAACTGACAAAAATTTAAATTTTGATTTCATGCAATATGACAACTTAATTCCTGATTTTGTTATTGGCTTTTTCTGAAAAGTTTGCCTTTAGGTGGGATTCAAGGATTTTTGGTGAGACACTTCCTAAGAATATTCATCACCTAAAGGCATATAAAAAGGGATATAAAAAGGGATTCAAGGAGTTTACATTTTTGGTGAGACACTTCCTAAGAATATTCATCACCTAAAGGGATATCCCCTAAAGGGATATTGTGGCAGATTACACAGAGATTACACCAGGTGGTTATAATAAAGGCTGAACACCCCACTATTTTGAGTAGGGACATAATAGGAAACACTTGAAATACTTTTGGAACCCAGAAATTATTCTGGAACACAGAAAGATATGAATCTTTTAAAAAAGATGACTAAAACTCTGGAAATATAGACTTCACCTGGAGGGGATGGTTTTTTATTCTCAACAAAACTGACCACTTTAAAATAGACACTAGTAAGTGTACCTTTAGAGTTTCTGGTATATAAATGTGTATTATTTACTTTGTATTATGTTCCGTTGCAATATATGATATGTTTATTATGTTTAACATTACAGTTGGATCTTTGGAAACCTCTTTATCTAGAGGATGTCACTGCTAGTAGCGTAGTGCTTGTCAGGGTCCCATCCATTGCTCTTCAGACCGTGAAAGAGGAGCTGCTACGTTGTTCGCTATCTTTTGAGTAAGTACACTGATGTAGGTTCAGCAGCTTTAATCTTCTGGAGTCTGGTTAAACTGAAATTGAACATTTAATGCAGAGGTATATACTTATATGGAGAGAGCATAACTATATCTCCATGATGCTTCAAAGTAATCAGTTAGATACAACTGTATTTTCTAAACAAGTTTAACCTATATGTTGTATGTTCATTTCTTAGATTTATGGCTGAATTACTTATTTCTTAATGCCTGAAAACAAAAGTAAATATACAATGGGAGCTACCTTATATCTTCCTTATAAACCTTTGTACTAATGTAAATGCATATTTTCTTAAGAGGCAGACAACTTTAATTGTTACCACTTCGTATTTAAAGTAAACTTGTCACAGAACTGGACAATGTATACTGGGCATATGATAAAAAAATGCATAACCAGGGGTTACTTTTAGCAAAAATGTTGTATCAAAACAGTCAGTAGATCTAGATATGAGATCTACTAGAGAGATAACATTCTTTTAGAGAGATGACATTCTATGCAAATCTTGACTTTTGCCATAAAAATGTGCTAAACCACATTGTCTCAATCTCCTGAGACTTCCTATTGGTCATTGAGGTCAATCATCTTTACATAACCATTAAATAACCCACATGGATGTACAGAAGCTAAATCTATACCTATGTCTATATCTATTGATCAACAGATTGTATTTACATGGATTTTTCACTGCTTTTTATATCACACACTTTCATTTTCGCAAACTTCGTATCATCAAACAGAATGAGTTTTCCACTATCTGTAAAGTTTACAGTACAATTTTAGCGAATCATACCATGGATCTTTTATTGTGATTATTGCTATTCTGATAACTTCAGTAACTCTAGTGTTATTGACATCTTATGTACACTGTGAACCTTTCTATAACCTGCATTCTCACTCTTAAAACAGCAATCACAAGGGATTATTTAATTAGTCCAATGATGTGCAATTATCCATAGCTACTAATCGCCTTTTATCAGTTTGAACAGCACAGAGCAAAGGTGATTTCTTGTTTGCTATTTATTACTGCACATTGCACATTGCACAGTGTTTTATAAAGGTGCATGTCTGACAAAGCTGAAAGAAAGATCTTGAGAAGCATACATGGAGCATAGTCCACCGGCTGAGTAGATCAGTTGTTTGTCCACACATTGCAGTACGGTCATATAAATGTCAGTACTATAAAGTTTTTCACATTTAACTGTGCCTTGGAAGTTTTAGTGGTGATACAGTACGCAAGAATGTCAGAAAGCACAGACTAAAATAAGTGCATTCCTACTACTCTCCTATTGATCCTGTTAGAGGTGTGTACTTATTCTGCAGGAGATTAACCAGATCTCAGATTAAGGTAAATCAAGTAAATCTTTTTGACCTTAGCACAGTTGCTGGAATTGGAAGCACACCGCGTGCATTCACATGCTGCCAGGAATTGCTCTTCAAAATTTTAATTATTAATTTAAACCCATCAGTGCTTACAGACACATCTCTAAAATTCTCAAATGGGAATTTGGAACAGCCATAAAACCATGTTCTTCCAGGTTGAATGACGCCTAGCTGCTGACAAGCTTCTGTCTGTTCAAACTAAGTTTGCAAAATACTAATTATATTTTACCAAGTCCATATTTACTGTCTCCTTTCCTCTAAGATTTGATGAAGGGGTAAGGTTTGGCACCCAAAATACATTGGCCCTATATACAAACTTCTACTGAAATATATAACAGTATGGTGTGGCACTTCAGTCTATACTCTCTCTGTGAAAACCCTTTGGCCTGTAGGAGCTGCCAGCCTAGTGTCCAAACACTGTTCAATAAGACTATTCTCATGCAATTGGGCCCCCAACTCCTTTAAGCAATACACACCTGACATGATTGCTTACCCTAGCCTATACTTGTTTGTCTATTTCACCCTTTCCACCCAATTAAATATAATTAGTATAATTAAACTTTAAGTTTAAAGGACAGGCTAAGGGTTTTGTGTTGGTGGGGAATAAGTGTAAGAGATTCTTTGTTTTTTAATTACTGGTAGGGAAGCTTGTTCCTGGTGCTGGGAGCCATGCAATGAAATCTACTAAACAGCACCCTTCATAAGTTATTGTGTAGCTCTTGCTATCTTGCTGCTAAGGTATGCCATGCTTTTCCAGCCCTGGCAGCAGCCGGCTCCACAATAGGAATCTAGCATATGTGCCTGATATAAGACACCTGCCAGGTCCAGTCCTGATCTCTAAGCCATAGCTGCCCTGAATTGCGAGAAACGTAAAATTCCTCATGAGTATTGAAAACATAAGCATTCCAGCACTAAACCTTATTAACGCAGCACTTCAGGAAGTGAGCTCCAAAGAGTTCTGTTGTCAGCCAGTTCATGAAGAACCTTTGCTCTCACTCTGTATGACAACATACAAAGGGAAAGAAGGTGCCAAGCAAGAGGAAATAATACTAACAGCGTTATAATCTTAAACATTACATTGTATCTATTATCTTTACAATTTAATGAATTATTGACATTTTGTTCACATCACAAATGCTCTGAACTTTTGACACTACCAACTTAAATGTGTTTCCATAGCTTCCTAGCTTGCTACTGAACATGTCATTTGTATATATAGCCAGCTCAACTTTATTGCATTTGCAAATCCTTTAGTGAAACAAAATCTGTTTCAATTTATCGCCCTGGCCGTCAGACAACCACTACTTTGATGTAGCAGTTCTTTGACCAGAAACTGACAAACCTAATTTCTAACAGGGATGGAGTAGAACTAAAAGTCAGTTAGTTGTCAGTACTAATTTAAATATTCCTGGGTGCACATTTAGTGCTGCCTAAATGTGTGTTTGACTTGTAATTCTGAAAATATGCTATACCAGCAGTAGCCCTGTTGGTGAGCCATAAAAGCAGCACAGCCTTTTTCTGTTTATATTGTGAGGAAATGGGCATTGGTGCAAGTAACATGTACACTTATCAACAATAATTGTCCCAGTTTGGAAATGTACTGAAATGTACTGTATTAGATGCAACCCGCATGGCTGCTGTCTTTCCCCCATGTGTATAATAGCAGGAGGTAGTCTACCTTTACTAGTAAGGTATTGTGTGAGACAAGAGTCTCATCCTACTACAAGTTATGAACAAATAATAAAAAATCTGGCCTAACAGCAATTTGCTTGATCTGCTCCTGGACATATGCTAGGTCAGTTATTTATGGGAGCAGACAACCACCCAAAAGCAAGTACTATTGGTATGATAAAAAGGTACCTGCATATACGAAAGGCAAATAGGCTGTGCACTTTGCAAGGGAATTTATTCTTAGTGCCTGAGGTGAAGCTCTGGTGACTTCCATTATCCAAATCATTTGCAAGCAAAACTGCAGTTTTTTTCCTTTCACAAGATTGGGTATTCTTTAGACGTGTAAGCCAGCAAAAAAATTGTTTACTTTCGTTCCATTTTGTTTTGGATGTTTCGTTATTTCGTTTTTCGGGTCAATTTTTTTTGGCATTTGGATGAAACCAAATTTTGTTAATTTTGGATGAGTTAAATGATCATTGCCAGAATTGCAGAAAAGATTCATTACATGTTTACTTTGTTTCTTTTTTTTAATACTGACACCACAAACAAACAAAAAAAAACAGCCTGGGGACCCTCTTCCAATGCATACCGGACCCTTTAGGTCTGGTAGGAATGTTATAGGGGACCCCTGATGTACAAAAAAAAACAGCGTGCGGTTTCCTTGCAATTCATGTGTGTTAGAAGGATACCCCAACAATTATTTGCAAACAGGTAGCACACATTTCAGGTGTGAAAGTTGTGGAACCATCATGTTCTGGTTAAATAAAATGTCTTAGTTTGCATGGCTAAAGGGAAAGATATGTTAAAACAGCATTATATATGGAAGACAGGGCCCCCTGTCCTGTTCAGGATTGGTTGTCTCAGTTTAATGTAGGTGGCCTTTTTCACACCTCTTGTGAACCAGTTGTCCTCTTAGTCAAAAATGTGCATCTCACTGTCCTCGAGGGCATGTCCTTCAGTCTTGATCTTAGAACTTCCCTTCTATGTTGGGCTATTCGTTTGTTGAGAGTATACCAAGTTACTTTGCTTGTGTTTGGGTGTTGAGTCTTTTGGATGTACAAGCTTCTGTGTCAATGGACTTGAAGCACACACACACAGTAATGTGATGTTTGTTAAAGATCCTTCTGTTTTTTTCTTGATGGTATAGGTACATATCAGAGGACTATACTACTCTATGTGTTCTGTCTCTCCCCTCTGTTTGATGGCCCCATGTTTTTACATGCCCTTGTGTTTTAATACAAGCCCAGTCTAGGTAGCCATACACTTTTAAAACATTTTTGAGATGTTTGTTTTTTTGTGTTTAGACCATCTCAGCCCGATGTCACAGAGCCTTAGTGACCCCCAATTTATGCTCCAGTCAGTGGTAGGAGTTAAAAAGCAGATGCTGTGTTGTCAACTAAGGGTGATTGGATAGTAGCCAAATATTTAGCAATGTTATATGAGTCTCAGATGCCATCTGAGAGTTTCCAAGGCTGCAGTAGTAGGTAACTTCAACTGATTTATTGGCCAGGCAAAGTAGATCCTTGGCCAGCCAGTTTACTTATCCTATCAACATGATAAGATTTGAAGGCCCTGAATTGATGATGATGATGATGATAATAATAGTGATGATGATGGTGCTGAAAAATATGATTATTGTTTATTGTTAATGGTAAGTGTGTGTACAATATGCATTATAGTATAAATACATTGTATCTAGATTAAAGATTATTTTCTATTTAAACTGATAAAGTTATTTCACAGTATTACTGTACTTTATTTTCCATACATCTCTGTCCATGGAAATAGATGTTCTGAGACTAATCTGAGACTAATCTTACTCTTGGGTAGAAGTACCGAATAAAATATAAAGTAAACACTTAAGCTCTCAGCAGCTGCCAGGTGAAATGCTGCTTTGTAAAATTGTAAACATTCTTTGGAAAAAGCTATAAAATCAAATGATTCATCTCTGATCTTAAATGTGATAAATGAAATGTACAAGATTAGATTTATCCGAATTAGTCATCCTCATTTAAACTGAATTGCAAGAGACGGGTTAGAATCTTTAAAAAAGCAAAATTTTACTGTGCACAAATATCAAGGGACAGCTTAAGTTAGATGAAGCTTTATCCATTTAACAAGCACTGCTCATTTTAATAATAATACATTTCTGCTGCTCTATGCCTCTGTGGTATTTATGAGTTGAATTAATGTTTAAATTAAGAAAAAATAATTTGAATTAACTGTTACAGTCCCAGGATATACAAGTCTGTATCATATACTGTGTTCTAATGAAAGGGTTAACATGGAAGCAAGCCAAAGCTTTCACACCCCTGACTTTATTGACTAGATATAAACATTAATTTCATTTGTTTCAATTTACTTGTCAGTTCTTTAACTGCATTACAATAACTGGTGCTGCCTCTCATATTAGGGAAGGTGATAAAGCAATTGAGAGCTAACAGGCACTGTGGGAATTGCCTTGTATATGAATGCTGACTGAAGATACTTAGGTATGTATAGCAAGAGAGCAAGAGATGGCTTGTACAGGCAACTGAGGAGTCATTAGGTGTATAGGAAATCACTTCCTCAAACCTGTTATTTCTCTGTGAACTGTGCGTTTGGGAAGATTTTAGGATTTTAGAACCTTAAGTTATAACTAAATCATTATTTGGATTTCTGCAGATTTTAAACACTTTTTAGAAGAAAATCTTATATTGCTGAATATGTGTGATTATGTAAAAGTGCAATACCCATGGGCAAGATTTTTACTTTTTTATTTAAGTATTTCTAGAGCTGATACTAGCAAGTGTTTGTTACTTTTCTAGTACATTTTTGAACACTACTGCTGAGAATCACCGCTCCTGGGCAGAGTGTGCATATGTCCACCTTAAATATAATTGCTCTCCAAGGCGAATGATGTCAATACTCACTGACAACTCAATCATGCCTGGACACTTCTCAAATCCTTGTAACTGCTTCCAGAAAAACACTACCAGAGAGAGTCAGGCAAAGTTAGAAATACCCATAAGTACAATTAGAAAGGAAATATTTATTTGGTGGGCATTGTTAGCTAATTAATTTCTTTAATTTCTGAGTTTTTTAAATATTTATTGGAAATTTTGTAACCACTTATTGTCATTCTGTCATCTATCTCTTTTGTAGCGTTCTACTTGATAATATAACTCATTATATAGGCAGTGAAGAGAGAAGAAGAGTAAGAAAAAAGAGATCCACACCTGATTATGACTACACCAAATATCACCCAATGGAAGATGTAAGAGAAGGATATAGTACTCTTTTTCGTCTGAAGTGTGTTAATGAAAGTCTTCAAAGACTTTATTCAGTGCCTCAGAAATCATTATAAATCTGAAAGTTTACTTTTACACGGATCACCTATTGAATAGACTTTCCGAAAATACTGAACATTGAATACATAATAAGCTGCATTTCACTTCTAATGCAATGTTGTCTCATATAAACATATTACCTAAAAAAGTCCAATATTAAAATGCTGTAGATATTTTTGAAGTGTTTTTTCAGTGTCCTACTATGAGTGAAAGCACCAGCCATGTTTCTTGGCTTATGTTATACTATAACCAGCCATGTTATAGTGAATATATGGCTGGGAGGATGGATATTATCAAATATACTGGCTAGTCCTCCATAAGGAGATCTATGCTTCCATCACAGCTCAGAGTATCAGGAATTCCCGAATTCCCAGAATTCCCGGATCCAACAGGTATGTGCTACTTTTGCAGAGCACAAAGAACCATTTTAGCTATGATAAGTAGCTGAGTAATTCAGATTGGATTCACAAGTTTGCATATGAAGCCTTTGAAAGGAGACCTCAGTTGAGAAGGATATGATCTATGTACAGTTTACTGACAGAACATTCATTGCATCACTACAAAGCATGCCAGGTTGCAAAAATAGGTGTAGGGTGAGCATTATGCAAAGAAAAACATGTAAAGTACATAATACTGTGAGTCCAAATATCATAAAAGAACTGTCTAACTGGAAGTGGTCTTAAAGTCCAAAATTAAATACAAATGTAGATAGGGGTACTTGGTCAGCAGTAAGCCCCAGTCTGTGGCCAGCAGCAAGGCTGTAGCACAGGTATTCTGGCCTCTTTGCAAACCTTGGCTAGATCAAAGCCTATGTTCTAGCCGAGGTTTGTTAACTGGTACACCATATCTGGTAAAAATAAACCAGATATGCAAGTCATAATTAACCTCCATTCTTTGTGAAGTCACTCGTTAAATATACTTTACAGACAACAATCTCATACCTTTGTGCTTACATTTCCAGGTATATGCAGTCTCTAGCTTGTTAACCTATTTGCAAATGCCACTATATTTGAACTGATTGATTTGATTATATTTATGCATCCTTGCATACATACTCATCGTAGCTAAATGTTATATGTCACGCCTATTTGACACCTGTACATTCTAAACTTGTATTTTTTCTATTTAAGATTTACGAGTGGATTAATATAATGTCTGAAAAGCACACTGATCTGTTAACCCAACATTACTTGGGTTCAACGTATGAGTCCAGACCCATGCATTATCTAAAAGTAAGTGACACTCTTACAGATAATTTCAAGGTCAAATGTCAAAGATAATGTTGAAATATATTTGTTCTTTTCTTTGCAGATTAGTGAGCCATCAAGTAATCCTAAAAAAATTGTTTGGATGGACTGTGGCATACATGCACGAGAATGGATTGCACCAGCCTTTTGCCAGTGGTTTGTCAAAGAGGTAATATTTTTTGGTCTACTTGGTCCGTTATACTGTATTAAAGCTTATACGATCATTAATAAAATTGTGCGTACATTTCTGCAAAAGATTTTAAATTGTCTACAGCGGTCGCCTCTCATTCTGTGATTCTGGTAAAATAGAGCAACTTTGTCTAATATATTGATATTTCAAATAAACACCAAAAAGAAGAAATACACTTCTCTATTTTTATTTTCAAAATATGAATTTTATATAAACTGCATAAAATGCCATCAATAATTTCTATGGCCACTTTTTCGTGGACAGGTCATGAAACCATAAAACCTTATGTTACTGTATATATTAGGAATACCGAGGTTATACAATACTGTATATTTCCACAAAAATTTACTTAAATAGACTAATTAATAGATGCAAATTCACATACACATAATAAAAAATATATACCTGAGTTACTGTAAAATGTGCTTGCATTTTTCCTAGACTGACATCCTCTAAGAGCTAAAGAATATCAGCAATTTTAATCCCATGTTCTTGAAAATTGTAACCATACTAAATTCAAGTGGGAGATAGATCAGAGATGTAATACCATAGCTATCTAAGGATATGCTGTTCACACTGTCATCTTGATGAAACAGAGAACAGAAGCATCAAAGAACAAAAGTACATCCTATACTATTCAACGGTTTATGCTGCCTCTGCCTGAGGCGTAAATACTGTAAAGATATGAAATCCTTCCTTGTAGTAAAGTGTTGCTCTCTATGTAAGTGCATGATTTTGCTGATCTATCCCTCAGCCTAGTTTTTTACTAAAGCATGTTAGGACAGTAGCCTACTGGATTTTGTGGCCTGGGATGCATGCACCATCAACTGGCCCCTTCATAGTAGGCGCAGTATGCTGTGGGGTAAAGAAAGTGCACCCCACAAAGTGTACCCCAGTGGTTGGTGGCCATGGTGAAAGGTGGTGTAGATCTCCTGCTAGATGTTACTCTAAACGTAAAGTCCGACATAGTTATAGGAAGGTAATCCAGGTAAAATGCAGATAATAATCGCCTCCTAATGCTGTTAAAATTTTGCATTTTAATCTCTCTTACTTCAAACAACATTCCTCTTCCCCAATACAGTGACCCTGTATCTTGCTGCTTCTTTTCTATGATTGGTAAATCAGGGTGGTCCTGATTAAATCTGACCTAGAGGCATCTCTAGATATACTGGAAAGTTAAGCAATTGCATGGAGACATGCCTCTACTAATGTATACCAAGATGAAGAATGGATTATACTGGAAGCAGGAAATGAATGCAGCTTCCTATAGTTTACTTGGCAATTCTGCATTAAATTGCTGCAAATCCTAAGGCTTCCCTTAGTATGAGAGTGGTCATAAATGTGGGTATTTGACCCTCAAGGGACCCTCCTCAGAGCACTGCAGAAACCTCTATTAACCTGGAAAGTTGGTTATGCTGACCTAGCAAATTTATATGAGTAGAAGGGGGGAGAAAAGGGCTGCACTGGCAGATGGGGTTGAACAACAGCAATCAAGGCAAGGTCTTATGCAGCTGTTTAGAAGCTGCCATCCCATGTCTATGAGTGATTTTGGAGGTGAACAATGCATGCTGATTATATTATATAGGGATATAGTAGTTTTAAGATAAGTTAACATACTATGAGTGCTATTTCTCAGTATTATTCACACCCTTTCACAGAAAGAGTCACATTCGTTTTCTCAATGATATTGACATATAATAGCTCCTACTGACTGCAAAGTTTATTCATGGAAATAATGAAAACCAACGCTATTAGCATATGTTGACATTGACTGACAAAGACTTTGACCCTGGCATTGATGTTGACTTAACATGCGCTAAAACCCACTGACAAGGAATTCCAGCTGTTCTTTAAGACGCTTAAGAAGATCATTAATAGGCCAAACACTAAAATGAATGCATCATCCCACCTTCCCACGCAAAAGTTAATCATTAGAATGTCATATGTGTCCAGAGTTTAAGGTTCAAGAAGTATAGAAAGTAGTAGGCTCTCATGATCACACTTTGTCATGCTTGATAAAAGAAATATGGCGAAGATTTTCATATCATAGGTGCACTAACATATTTTATACAAATTACTTTACAATAAATTAAATGTACGTAATATTTATATTTATTTATAGCGAGGTATACTTCAAAACTAAGCACAGTAAATGTGTAAGGTTTCATTGACTGAGTGGTGTTTGAGTAATTTCAGTTACCTGCTGACCTCTTGTATCTCTTGAGGACTCCAGGAGCAAGATCTTCTTGATATGCTTGCCAGCTTTTCTTCCACCCACCTTTTAGCGTTCACTGGTAATGCCTTCCTTGGCATATTCCTACTGGTTCTGTTGCATTTAATACAACATAAAATAATTGAGAAATCAAACCAGGACAGAACGGTCTTCTCATAATAGTTTCAGAGCCATGGGGGCCTATGAAGAATCTCCAGGGCTCTGGAAGATGGATATTGGTAGATGGATCTTCAACATATAGCAAAAACCGTTTTGGGGTAAAAGACCTTTAAAAATCATTATCTTTATTCTACTATAGTTAAAGTGATGCTTTAATTCAAGAGTTGAATCTTAAAAATTTGTTCAAGTACCTTAACTATTAACAAAAATGTAGCTTATTTGTGTATCACTCGGCTGTAGATCTTCAAATCATCTCTGAATGACATGGAGGGTGGCTACTTTTGTTCCCCATGGTCACATGAGCCATGGTGTGTTGCAAAGCAGACACTGCTCCAAGCTCACTTCTGTGGTGGACTACAATCTCAATAAAAATTAGTAAACGGGAAGTGGGTGAACACATACCGTTGTTCGCTCACTTCTCGATCTATCTCTGCAGAGAGCCGTGACTGTCACTCACTGCTCCCTGCAGGGATTCCCCCCTCCCCTGTCCGATCCTCCAGCGCTGACTGGCGAAACGGACGGGGGAGGGCACAGCTGGCTCTGCCTCTGGATAGGCAGAGCCAGCTGTCAATCCCGCAGCTGGGTGGATCCAGACAGCATTGTCGTGATCTGTCCCGGCTGCAGCATCTCAGTATACCGCGAGCTGTAGCTCGCGTTATACTGAGCTTTGGGTCACGGGAGAACGCTAGCTTGTGTTCTCATGTGACCCTTAGGAGAAATATTGGGAAAAGGCCTGACCCCATAGTTCTCCTTCAAGGTATTTGAATGCATTTTTAAGATTCAACTCCTGATTTTAGTGTCACTTTAATATTTTTTGCAGTTTCAGAACCTCAGTAATCAAGTCAGATTTATTATAACTACAATTATAAGATATTCTGCCTGGACCTATGCTCTCTTAGTGCTGTTTTATTTGGATATTAAAATTTGCTCAGGGTTTATGCTCCATGTATAATCGAATTACTTGTGTCTTCTTTAGCTCAAGTAATATTCTTTATTGATCAGGATTAAAGTGCAACTTCAGCTTAATTTTTTTTTCTTAAAAAGACATATATTCCAAATCTTGTAGCAAGCATTTTTTCCAATCCTTAAATGTTTCAAACACTTTTGATTAACAAAATGAAGAGTAGTAAATACTTAAATCCAAGCTTGCTTCTTTGATGGACTACAATCTCATGTTTAATTTACTAATTTGTAGGGATGTCCCGATACCAATACTAGTATGCTAGTTGCATAGCACCAATGCTGGCACTTTCAATTTTTAAATAGGTTTGGGAGCACTTGTAAAGCAGCCCCTGCTTGTCCATCCCCCCCCCCGCTGGCCCCTCCTCTCCAGGGTCCATCCCTCCCCTCCAAAATTCATCCCCCTATGGCCCTCCCCCTCCCCACCATGGTTTTCGGGCTCCCCCGCTCTTCTGGGGGGCCTGGGACCACGGCAAAGCAGTTCAGGATAGAGTGGAGAGCAGAGCGATGAACGTTCGTTCTCATCTCTGCTCTGTGATCAGTGAGACAGGAGCGCTGTATTTACATCGGTTCCTGTGTCAGCTGTCACAAATGTAACTGTACAGATGATCCAGCATAATTTGTGTTGGATCGTCTGTATTGGACATCAGGTTCATAAAGAGAGCCTGTCACCGCCAAATTACATCACATTCGGCTTGTTAGGCATGGTAGTTTTTTTGAGATTTCGAGGGCGCGCACAATTTTAAAGCTTGACATGTTTGGTGTATTGTTACCCGACGTTACCCCGTCTTTAATATTTTTTTTAAAAAGTGGGTGCTAGCAAACGTTTTATAACATAACATAGGGAAAACAGGTTTTTTTTTTTTTAATTGTTGGTACTTTTTTCATTATATAGTAAAACATAAAACCCCAGTGGTGATTAAATACCACCAAAAGAAAGCTCTATCTGTCCCTAACAAATGGTATACAATTTGTTTCAGTACAGCGTTGCATGACTAAATAAATGTCAGTCAAAGTACTGCAGCACTGAATACTGACAAATGGCGTGGAGAGGAAGGGCGTTTAACACCCCGGTCAGCAAGTGGTTAAAATCCTTCTCTGCTTCTAAAAACCAGAAAAAAACTTGTGCCATTTGTTTCTTTTGAATTCAGAAATGATTTGAGGATCTACAGGCCGAGTGATACACAAATAAGATACATATTTTTTTACATTTTAACACTGAGTTAAGTGTCACTTTAAATTTGATCTTGGCATCTAGGTTTTGATGAACTCTAGTAGTAAACGGGTTAAACTGTAAGTATTTTTCCTACAACAAGGGTTGACGCTTTTTCCGACATTTCTTTAGGTTTATGGTATGGTACCTGTTTACATGATCATGGTGTACCTCTTTAAGGGTTTTCTTTTTTTTATTAGAACATAAAAACATTAATGAACATCATATTATTGGAAGGCTGGTATTTGTCAAGACAAATGTTAACTCTTCTTCTAAATGTATCATTAGATTGTACAGAATTATCCGAAAGATGCACGTTTAAAAAAGATTCTCAGAAACCTGGATCTGTATGTCTTGCCTGTTCTAAACATCGATGGCTACATTTATTCGTGGACCACTGTAAGTAAAATTGGAACATACTTTTTACTCTTTCTTGTTTCATATTATTTAATATCTGGGCAGAATTAAAAGTGTGTGTGAAAATTTGGAAGTGAGAGGGAATCCCTCCAAAGAGAGGTACATCCTTTTAGTCAGTGGGGTCACTAGTGTCCCCATTGGAAAATGTCTCATCTATTCCTGTTCTGAAGACAACCTGAAATTTTGGCTTTTCTTTCACATTCAGTGACAGAACAAATGATTCAGAACAAATAGAGAGGGTGAATCTTCATAACAGGGACACAGGCAACAATAAAAACCTGACAGGCGATATTCTAATTCCTAGCTATTCCAAAACTTTAAAATGTATTGGCTTTAGTTGCACTTCAGCAGACCCAAATCAGATCTCCTGCCATGCCAGATTGGGCTGCATAAAGTTGCAGAGCTGTGTAAATCTCAGAAGTGGATGGATACAAATACAAATCCCATGGCAGGTATAACAGCTCCCCCTTTTGCCACCAAAACAGCCTTGGCCCACTGAGGCATGGACTCCACTAGACTTCTGAAGGCATGATGTGGTATCTGGCAACAAGCCATCAGTAGCAGATCCTTCAAGTCTGGTAAGTTGCTAAGTGGGGTCTCCAGGGATTGGACTTGTTTTTTAGCACATCCCACATTTGCTTGATTGGATTGAGATCTGGAGAATTTGGAGGCCAAGTCAACACAACAAGCTTGCTGTTGTGTTCCTCAAACCATTCCTGGTGCCATCTCTTCCCCAGGTAAGCGTCACACACACGCACCCAGCCATCCACCTGATGTATAAGAAAACATGATTCATCAGACAAGGCCACCTACTGCAATTGCTTTGTGGTACAGTTCTGATGCTCATGTGTCCATTATAGGCACCTTTGGAGGTGGACACGAGTCAGCAAGGGCACCCTGGCTGATCTGGGGCCACAAAGCCCCATACACAAGAAACTGCAATGTACTTTGTGTTCAGACACCTTTGCTTTGAAATTACATAGTTACATAGTATTTGAGGTTGAATAAAGACAAGAACTTTTATGCGGATCCTGGGGTTGCTTCCTGGCACAGCACCAATGGTTTTGGGGTCCGGTTCAGGGGGTCTCCCAGGAGCTGCAGGCAGGCAGTGTTACTTCATCCAGATAGGGATAGTGGTTAGCGTTAGCTGGGGTTTTGCAGGCGTTCAGACTGCTATAAATTGGCATTAACTTTTTCAGCAATTACAGTAGCTCTTCCATTTGGTTGGACTACACGGGTCAGTCTTTGCTTCCCACGTGCATCAATGAGCCTTGTCGCCAGTTCACTGGTTGTCCATCCTTGGATGACTTTTGGTTGGTCCTGACCATGCAGATTGATAACATCCCACAAGCTGCAGTTTTGGAGTTACTCTGACCCAGTCGTCTAGCCATTACAATCTGGCCCTTGTCAAAATCAACCAAATCCTTACACTTGCCACTTGTTTCTGCTTCCAACACATCAATCTCAGGGACAAAATGTTCACTTGCTGCCTAATATATCCCACCCACTTCCAGGTGCCATTGTAACAAGATAATCAATAATAATCAAGATAATCAAACTTCACCTCCCAGTGGTTATCGTGTTATTGCTGATCGGTGTATATTCATCTGTATATGTTGCTGATTGCCTGAAATTCAGCTTTATTAGCTGCTGTAGTGTACAGTAGGTTGGTTATGAAGTAAACACCGAAATATAGCTGTACACTTTTTTGCTTTCTTTACAAAATTAAAAATCAAACCGCAACATGTGGAAGATTTGCAGACCTTGAGGCCTTGAAAATATTACAGGGTGATCTCACCTGTTTTATCTTTTGTAGAGCTTAGAACATTGTTTCAGGAGACTGTAGCAAGTTGCCTGTATTTGATAATGTGCTTCAAATGAATTCTAAAGAGGTAGAAGTCAACAATGTAGTAAAATCTGTAGCCAAGTGTACCAAGGCATTTGTTTATATTTAAAAGGAGGTACATCTCTAATACCAAGTACAGAGAATGCAAAGAGCAATTTCTTTCATTCAATGCAAGTGTATCAATCGCCCAAACCTTTTTTTTTTTTAGCTTTTTTAGCTTTAGAAGGAAAATTGAGAAAGATGGAGAGATGCCTTCACTTCTTGTCTGGTAAAAAGATTGCCCCCAGAACAGGAAGTGGGGGTAAATCTCTCTAACAGCCATACAGACAGAAGAGAAAATAATTTTGTAAAGGGTAATTCCACTTTCCCAAGTGAATTTGGAAAAACGGAATTACCGCCACCAATCTGCCCCCTGCCACTGCTCTTAACTTTAGCCAAACACTCCTTCCCCTTTGTGGCTGCCGGTGTACTATCCATACTCCGTACACAGCTGCGCAGCCCTGTGTACGGCCCTATATATAGACCAATAAGTGCTCACCATTTGCAAGCAGAATTTGAAATACTGAGTGCAGAGCTGCGCTGCTGTGTACAGAGTATGAATAGTTCACAAGCAGCCATGGAGGGGCAGGAGCATTTGGTTAAAGGTAAGAGCATTGGTGGGGGGAGAGGAGGCAGATTGGTGGTGGTAATTCCATTTCCCAAATTCACCTGGGAAAGTGGAATAACCCTTTAAGTTAATCAGGAGAATGGTAGAACCTCTGTCAGCATTTTATTGTTGCCTGATTGCCTGTTGCAGATTTCCCTTCACTTCCACTCTAGTAAAAGATTGTCCCCAGAACAGAAAGTGAAGGGAAATATCTCTAATGGAGCTCTGGATAACAGTAACACCTGACAGAATTATGCTTTGGGGCTGTTTTTCCTTAGCTGGAACTGGGGCTTTAATCAAGGTGGAGGGACTTATGAACAGTTCCATATATCAGTCAATTAAGACTCAAAACCTTCAGGCCTCTGCTAAAAAGCTGAAGATGAAGAGGAATTTCACCTTTCAGCACAACAACAACCCAAAGCATACCTCCAAATCACCAAAAGAATGGCTTCCCCAGAAGAAGATCAAAGTTTTGGAATGGCCCAGCCAGAGCCCAGACCTGAGTCCAATTGAAAATCTTTAGGGTGACCTGAAGAGGACTGTGCACAGGAGATGCCCTCGCCATCTGACAGATTTGGAACGCTTTTTCAAGGAAGAGTGAGCAAAGAATCCCAAGGCAAGATATGCCATGCTGATAGACTTCTACCCATAAAAGACTGAATGCTGTCATACGTTGTAAGATCAAAAAGTGCTTCAACAAAGTATTAGTCTAAGGATGTGCATATTTATGCACCCATGTTATTGTAGGTTTTTTATTTTTTATTTTTTCCCCTTTTAAAAATTTCAGTTTATTTTTAATTGAATTGCACTGATTATAGGTCACGTTAAAGGTGGGAAAAATTTCAGAAATGATTTATCTTGGTCTGATATTTTTACGTCTCAAAAACCTGGAATTTTTACAGGAGTGCGCAGACTTTGTATATCCACTGTGACTAGAAGTCACCTGCAATTAAAACCTCCTTTCAGATGTGTGGATCCGGAGGCAGCTGAAATATTGACTTTTCATGTAAAACTCAAGCTTGCCTCGCACCCCTTCCATCTCCCTATCAGTTAGGAAAGCCACTCATAAAGGACCAACATAGAGTGTCAGGAGGCAGGAGACATGAGCCTGTCTGAATTTTGCATGAAAAGTATTAATTTGTAATTTGTGTATAAATTCAGCTGCCTTAAGGTGGCCATACACTTTGCAACCATCGCAAGACGTTAGTCTTGTGATGGTTGTAAAGTAATTTAAAAAAACGTACGATCTGCCCATCTTGAACAGGCAGATCGTACTTGCGATCATCGGAAGCCCGCCCCCCTGAGGGGCGGGCTTCGGATGACCGCAATGCTGAACGGGCAGTGTGCGCATGCAGTGCAAGTGCAGGGCACCATTATAGTAGATTGTATGCAGCAAAAAAAAAAAAAAGGTTTTTTATTGCAGAAGAGACACACAGTAGGGTCCATGTATACACAGTTTGCAGGGCCATTCACCCTGTGAATCTCTGTGAACATTCATTTTGTGTGAACAGGCAAAAACGAACATTCTTACTATATATTTTTTTAAAGTTGAATATAACATTCATAAAATACGACATCATGCCCACTAGATGGAGCTGATGAGCATAGGTAATAAGTATTTCCTAGACATAGATAGAGTACAGTGAGTGGGCATTGTCACCCCAGGACAAGGAGTGTGTTACTGGAAGGATCACCAGGTGAAAATAAAGGAAAAAGAAAACCAATGCAGCCCCCATATCTAAGGACTGGTAAGTTGTAATATATTTGATTTTAGTTCTTGTGGTTAGATAAACGTAAAGAATATCACAGGTTATTTGTGGTCATTTGAAAACAGAACCAAAACATGGCTTGTTTGGTCGGTGATTTACTTTGAATCAATCATTCCCTAGGACAGGCTTTGGAGAAAATCCCGTTCTATGCATGAAAATGGGACGTGTTTTGGGGTGGACCTTAATCGGAATTTCAACATCAAATGGTGCAGTAAGTATAATCTGAAAAATCTGTTATATATGTTCCTTCATGAAGTTTATTAATATTTTTATGCTCTACATATTAGAGGTATATCAGTACTGAACCGTATTGGTAGTCTTTTTAAAGTCCAGGTATTATATTGTATTTACATTAAATAATCTGTTCCATTTGTAAAATTAAAATTTGTTTAATACGTTTAGGAATAGCTCTCAGCTAAACAGCTTGGGGCCTCCTGGACGACATAGGCCAACTATAAAGATGTATTTGTAATCATGGTAAATAGTAATTTTTAAACCAAGACTTTGAAAACAGCACTTTAGATGGCATGGTGTCTGTAGCATTGCTTCACATTATCAACTTCACTGTATTCATGTGTACACAGATCCTTGTCCATTGCCTAGTTGGTACATTGATCCATGAGCTTCAATATTGAGTCACTGCTCCAGAATAAGTCTACATAGAAGGAGCTGTGATATCACTTACTGTATACTTTCTCCAAGTCAGTAAATAAGAAATGACGGAAGCCCCCCAAACGAATTGCTAATTGTTAATTTTAAAAAAATATGTAAGAGCTCAAAATACTCTCCTAAATCCCTGGTCACATGATGCACTTGGTCCCCGACTCCTTATCATCTTCCCTTCTTTGCCTGGGTAATGTAGACATTTCTTATGCCCCGTTCACACCAGGGAGTAGTGGGGCCACACGTCATGGGAAGGTGCGTTCCCTCACAATTGCGGGACTTTGTTTCCTGCATTTGGAGGTCATCTCCATTGATCCCCATTGGGTGCCTGTACACCACCCGCGGAAAAGTAGTACATGTAGCAAATCTGGCAACATGTGTTCCGCCACGTTTGGGGTGCCATTGCCTAGTAAGAGGTGACCTGTCAGCACAGGCATAGAGTGTAGCACTGGAGTAATGTCACTTGTTGACAGGAGCTGTGTGGGATGCAAACCAGAACATCCCAGGTTTTGAGATGTGTATGGCCCTTACACATATACCTGACTGACTCTTAGCCACCTGGGATGCTCTGGCAGGTGGTGGCAGGTACACTGCAAATATTGTTATATAGAGTGGCCAGTATACAACGGACATGTTGCTCTGCCTGTCACCACCCCAGGTGACCGAACGAGATGCTGCCTCAGGCTGCCTCATTAAAGGGATGGCTCTGCTTTGGCTGGAGATGTACAAAAGGAGCAGAGTCTACATACTCATTGCTTCACATTTTCATGCAGACATGGCTATAGCTCCACTCCCTTTGTCGGTACTCTGACAATCCTAAAACATACATGTTCTCTACAGTATACTGGAACACCCAATGCAGACTTCTTGCTACCTCCCTTATTCAGGAGGGAAAAAATGTCAGTACTACGTTTCTAACAGCAACCAGTCACATCCCAAACTGTCTTAGAAGCTGGGATGTGATTGGTGTGTGCGGAAAACTAACAGAGAGAGGAAGCTACACAGTAAACGCATTGGAAAGTACACTCCTGCTGCCCTCCCATGGATGTCAGTTGCTTGCTGGAATCTAAATACAGGGGATTACACATAACTCAGATTAAAGTAAATCAAGTGAACTTTTTAAATAAATCACAGTTGCAGTATTTTCCAGATACCATTACTAACTCACCAAATGCTTTCAGTCTTTGCCCGGGAATTGCTCATTAATTTTAGTCTGGTATGTGCAGATCTGGGATCATCCAAAAATTGCTCAGACAATTCTTACTGTGGAACTTCACCGGTATCTGAGCCAGAGACCAAAGCAGTGGTAGACTTTGTGGAGAAGAGTAAATCAGACATTATCTGCTTCTTGACAATGCACTCATACAGCCAATACATCCTGACTGCTTATGGCTACACCAAAGACCTACCAAAGAGCTATAATGAAACGGCAAGTAATATTTTTATTATAAACCTTTTTTGTGTTTTTGTGTTTTTTGTAGGTGTGGAATAGCAGGAGCCAGAGACGGATTTACAGACAGGATTTTAGACATGGGAACTTTTTTGTTATCTTGTAGAAGTTGCAGTGTTTTCATCATGTCCTGGTCGTTGGTGCATTGCAGTGCCTGAATTCTGAATACTGTATAAATAAAAAAAATGTCACTGCACAGCACAGCACGGCATCTCAGATGCCCAGTGGGAGTTAACTCGGGTTGCCATGTAGAATAAGTGGCAACGCACTGCACTGATACCGTGCCGTTAGTGTAACGATATAGCGTGAATTTTAGTTTAACCAAGTTCCAATACAATGTCATCATTGCTTAAATGTTCACACTTGTCATGGATCCCTGAGAGCAATCAAACAACGCCAAAATATTCTTCATTAGAGACTGTCGCCGCAATCTGTGCAGCTGCCTACGCTTACTGCTGTCATAAATATGTGTCAGGTATTAGAGCCAGATTATAATGAATAATTAATTAGTAGTGCCCCCACCTACTTTCATCAAAAGTAGGAAAATATAAATGAATAATAAATATAATAATAATACCCAAATATCAGGAGATAATGAATTTGTTTCTGTCTGGATTATTTAAAAACAGCAAAATCACTTTGTAAAATAATCAAAGGTATAGCAAAGGTAGAAATAGTTTTACTTTTTATAGGAGATTACATTACAATGATTTGGACAAAGGATACACTAAAACAAACAATAATTAATGTTATAAACTAATGGTTAAAACTACTATACAGTATATAATACACTTTGATCACTATACTAAATAAAAGTATTTAAAATCTAACCAGCCCAGGAAATACGTCAGGGATCTGTTCTGGAACACAGAGCCTATTCGTCACATCCGTCCAGCAGTGATAGAATCTAGGAAATCCAATAAATGGGAAGTGTGTTGCCTCAATGCCTCAGGAAAGGTTTCAATGTATCTCCAGGAATTCAGTCAGTATCAGGGACCCAGGAGACATGTATTTTAAGACCAACAGGGTTATTCATTAAAGTGTGAAGAGTTTGGAGAAGTGAACAATCTAGGACAACATAGCTGAACTGGAAAGTGAACTGAATTTGAGAATTTGTCCAAATCAGCTATGTTGTCCTAGATCAGGGATGGCCAAACTGCGGCCCTCCAGCTGTGGTGGAACTACGAATCCCATGAGGCTTTGCAAGATTCTCACAGGCACAGACATGACTCCCGGAGAGAGATGCTTCATGGCATTTGTTGCTTCACCACAGCTGGATGGCCGGAGTTTGGCCATCCCTGATCTAGGACAACATAGCTGATTTGGACAAATTCTCAAATTCAGTTCACTTTCCAGTTCAGCTATGTTGGCCTAGATTGTTCACTTCTCCTGCCTTCTCGAGACTCTTCACCCTTTTGTGAATAACACTGTAAATGTTCTTCTGTACTTCATCAAATATGTCCAGAATCAATCCATTCTCTCTTCTCTCCTTTTTCTCCCTTTTCTGGGATGTCCTCTCAGCTGGCTAAAATATTTCTCCAATGTTTGCTCGTGACATCATCAAAATTTGGTTGTGGGTTTGCTCTAAGCGTGAGAACTCCTTTCCTATTGGCTGAGGAATTTATGATAATCAGTTGTATTTGTTTTGGGTGTGCCTATGTGATACCATGCCTGGCCCACAGATGTTGCTAGAGACTTACTTGTAATCTCTGAAGAGAAAGTTTTGTGGTGATTGACTGACATGAAATTGTATGGATATCAATAGATATATAGCTTTCATTTTGATAATATTTCACTACAGTCCTATACCTTAACATGTATTAATGTGTGTCAGTCTCCTAGTTTTCCTTGGGCTGGTTCATCATTGATTCAATTGAAACATTTTAAATATCTACCCACATATATCAAATTACAATATAGTCATGTAACAATCAGTGACTATACATTTTGGTTACACATTTTCCATATAGCATGTATGTAATAATATTTGATGTTATCCCATGAAGGTGAACAAAAACCCCAGATTATTTTATTGGGGAAAAAATTCCTTCACAACCCTCGATGTCTTGAATCTGTTGAACCATCAGAGCGATAGGGACATCTCGTCCCAGAATAACACCACATATTTATATCTCAAAGATACAGTATATATAAATTCTCATTATTAATGAACTGGTTCTGATCCCATTTTGAACAGTTAAATTACGATTATGCACGTGGAATTATTTTCAGAAGTATATAGACATATGATGTTTCCATATTCTATATGTAGTGTAGATTGTTTAACTTTCTCCTGATCATAAGTTCAATTGTGAGAATTTCTGGGAGGGAATTCTGACAATTGTCACACAAGTGTTTATTCAGTATTCATAAAATCCAAGGTTGTCTGGTCACTCCATTTAAAACAATGGAAGCTTGAGCCTCAGCTTGCTTTCCTGACATCCTGCTGTGATAGGTTTCTCTTCCAAGGTTAACTGGTAGTTTTAAAACAATGGGGGTTTTCACAAAACTGCCGAGGGCAGCCGTGTGAATAACCGACCCGAAGTGAAGTGAGCCGAACGCTGTTGGGCTATTCACTTCAGGCTTGTACGGCTGAAGTACAGCCGTACACCGACTGAAATCAGCCGTACATCGGCTTGCTGCGGCTGGGTTTGGGTCGGCCAAACATGCTCAGCATGTTCGGCCGACCCAAAGTGCAGAAGGGGTTCGACTCAGCTGATCCAACATCTGGATCGGCTGAGCCAAACCTCCGGCAGCTCACTCGCTGCTGTTCGGCCTATTCTAATAGGGGCTGAACAGCAGTGAGTGAATAGCCAAATGCCACCAAGCGGCATTCTGCTCGGCTATTCTGCTCGGTACCTCTGTGGTACTGAGCAGAATAGAAAAAAAAGTAGAAAACGATTGGGCGGAGCTAGCAGTGACAGCTAGCTCCGCCCAACTGTGTTCTATTGGCCTGGGACCAGCTGTCATTACAATGAGAGCTTGTCAGAGCCGGCGGTGATATCAAAGCTGGCTCTGCTAAGCTATTATCGTAATGACAGATCAGTATCCCTGGTTACCCTGTAACCAGGGGACGCTGTTCTGTCATTACGATGAGAGCTTAACAAAGCCGGCTTTGATATCACCGCCGGCTCTGACAAGTTCCCATGAAAGTTCAGCGTCCCCTGGTCACTAGGTAACCAGGGGAGGCTAGGACCTGGTAACCAGAGGACGCTGATCTGTCTCTACATGCAAGTGGACGGAGCCAGCCATGAGATGATAGCTGGCTCTCTGCCTCGGCCTTTACCTCGGCTCAGTCAAGCCGAAGCATATGCCTTCGGCTCGACTGAGCTGCTCGGCCAACTTCGGAAGCTGTACGGGCTATAGTGAATAGCTCGTACAGTAGCCCTTTGGTTCTACTGAACCGAAGGGGTCCTGGGGCCGAAACTAGACGAAGGATCAGCCGTAGCTACGGCTAGATCCTTCGGCAGCTTTGTGCATAGACCCCAATGTTTTTTGTCTCGTCAGATTGCATCAGGTGTACCTTTTAATAATCTACGGTTTATTTGGGCCTTTTTGATCAATGAATTGGGTGACCTTCTCATATCCTAAAATTAAGAGTTAAACATTTTGTAGACATAAGGATTCCGGTGGTCTCGTTTAGATTTCAATACAAGGAGTGAGTCTATTGTTTGGTCCTGTGAGAATGACATGAACTGTATAAACATTCGGTAGCCATTTTCATTTGAATTTTATTTCCAAATGTATACATTTTTTTTCAGATCAAGGTCGCACAGATGGCAGCATCGGAGCTGAAGAAAAAGCATGGCACAGTTTATAAAGTGGGGAGTTTTGCTCATCTTCTATGTAAGTGGATTATTGTAAAAATTTGGAAGTCTGTAATATTATATATGGTGCCACAATCAGAATGCAAAATGAGCAATATACTGTACTTCCTTTTGACAGATGTCATCAATGTGGTACATAAGTGTAGATTTGTGAAACGGTATGGCCTCTGTATTTATATGGAGCTCATTAAGGGTCTTTGTTGACTGTAAATCTTTCACTCACAAGTCTGTGAGAATGTAAAATTAGCTTGATGCCCGTCAAATGCAGGTCAGAAGGAGGTTAACTGCAGGTCAAATGCACCCGCAATGAATTGTGAGGCCAGGTTCACACCTAGGGGATTGAGCTATTGAAGTGTTTTCGCGCGATTTTGCTTTGAAAACCACACGATTTTCAATGCATAGAGAGTTTCCATTGACTCTGTGTTTTGAGCGATATTGTGCAGCTAAATCTGCGTTCTAAATCACCTAGATGTGCGCCAGCCCTGAATGATCTCAGAAACATCTCAAACTCATGTCAAAAGCAAGCTCATCAACATCACCCAAAACCTATTGACACATATCCTTACCATACTTGCTCCCTCTCTTGTATTTGGCTTGCATCTAGTGTTTACTTAAAGGAGAACTATGGGGTTAAGGCTTTTCCCCATAGTTCTCCTTAGGGTAACGGGAGGACACAAACTAGCGTCCTCCCGTCACCCTAGGCTCAGTATACCGCGAGCTGTAGCTCGCGGTATACTCAGACGCCGCAGCTGAAGCGGATCCCGACAATTTTGTCTGGATCGGCCCAGCTGCGTGACTGACTGCTGGCTCTGCCTATCTAGAGGCAGAGCCAGCTGTACCCGCCCCCTCCCCCGTCCGTTCTGCCAGTCAGCGCTGGCGGATCGGAGCGGGGGGAATACAGCCCCTCCCCTGTCACGGCAGAGAGCCGTGACAGGATCGAGAGGTGAGCGAACGTCGGTATGTGTTCGCTCACCTCACGATCTACTGAGCCGACCTGTGACAGTTTAATTGTCACAGGTCGGCTAGAACTATGGGGTGAGTAAAAAGCACTCACCTCATAGTACTCTTTTAAAGAGAATGTAAAGTTTTTGTACATGTTTGCCTAATTTATATTTAGGGCTCAAAAATACAATTCTAAAATGATTTTTCCTGTTTTCTAGTTAAGAAAATATGAAATATTGAATATTTATATTATGTAGCCCTCTGCCTAGCCAGCAGGAGTCTTCTTTTAATATGTGAAGCATTGTATCACTTTCTCCATTGCAGAAAGAAGAACATGGTTTATAGAACTCAAATTATCATAATAGTGACTCATACCCTATCAAACAGCTAAGCCCAGGGTTTCAGTCAGACAAAGGCAGCTGGCATCAAAGCTGATATTTTATGCTGTCCCTTTAGATTACCCATAGTGCTTGGGGAATCTTTTGTTGTATATTAAATGTTTATTTGTAAAACAGAGGGGTCTATTCACAAAGCTGCCGAGGGCAGCCGAGTGAATGACCGATCAGAAGTGAAGTGAGCCGAACACTGTTCGGCTATTCACTTCAGGCTGGTACGGCTGATTTCAGCCGTATATCGGCTGAAATCAGCCGTACATCGGCTTGCTTCGTGTGGCTTCGAAACAGCCGAACTGTAAAAAGCATATTATTTATCAATGTAGAAAATATTACAACAAATATAACAATTAATGAAATAAATACAACTGACCCAAAGCCATTTCAATTTTTTAATAATAACATAGTGGTGGAATTGACACCATAAATGTATGACTATGGTTCTACAACAAAGAAATAGAACTTTCTTCAAAGCACCATTAGCAACAGATCACCATAGAAGCTCTAACTACTGTATATGATGCATATTTTGCATACAATAGCTGTATTGTTAGAACATTAACAATGACTAGTCCCCTGACCCTGAATTTTAAAAAATGCACTGATAAAAACCTAAAGACAAATAGATACCTCTGATCCTTCAGCCATATCCTGTATGTCCATCACTGTGCTCAAAAGCTCAGTCACTACAAAATGTACTACTGTAAAAGTGTACTTTGTGGAAGTTTCATTAGGCTATAGAATATAATTGCTGTAATATATTTAACTATTTTGTTTTCTATATTTAACTCTTCCTGCAGATGAAGCATCTGGAACTTCTCAAGACTGGGTCCATGACCTAGGGATTGAATTCTCTTATACTATAGAATTAAGAGACAATGGTACTCACAAGTTTCTATTGCCAGAAGATCAAATCCAACCAACATGTGAAGAAACAATGGCTGCAGTATTGACCATCATAGACTCTGTGCATGACAAATATTTTCCTAATAAGGCGCCTACAAATGTTCACATGCTTTATTCCGTTGTCCTTCTCCTTTATACAGCAGTTCAATTATTTGTATAGCTTTATTGATGAATTTAACATGCAAGTATATGAAGCTGTTTTCTTTTCTTTTAAAACTGAATTGAAATTCAATATCCGATATACTCAGTCAATGTGATACTGCTTACTTGTCAAGCAAAATGATTCAACCGGCAAAATACATCTAATCAAATGAGCTCTTATAGAGCTTTTTAATAAACATTGAATATGTGATTTTCTAGAACATAGATAGCAAAGCACAATAGAATATATACAATAACCAAATCCTGGTCTGGTAAGCACATCCGTTTTCTGAAACATTTGAATTAACAGTGAAACAATGAATCTAGCTCATTCTGCAACCTTGCTGAGCCTCATAGAGCAAGAAGCACTGACGAATGACTGTATACACTAAAGGATGCATATATGAAACAATCGCAGAGTCATTCCTTCTGCGAAAATCTGACTTTACATTTATTATTATTATACAGGATTTATATAAGCCCTCAACAGTTTGCTCAGCGCTTTACAATATAAGGAAAACATTACAATACAATAGAAGACAAGATGGTAAGGAGGGCCCTGCCCGTGAGGGCATACAATCTAAAAGGGAGGGGCAAGTGATACATGAGGAGGTATTGTTGCGCCACATTTTTACCACTAGATGGAAACCGAGAAGCTTCAGAAATTCCTGTACGCCATGGCTCTATCTAGTGGCCATAAAACATATAAAAGTCAAGTTTTCCTACTGCTAAGCATTGGTATCATCAACATTGCTCTTTTGGCAGCAGTGATCACAAGGTAGAAGGTTAAGATGTGTGCATTCAGCGGGTCTTTTCTGCCCGTGCGTGCCCGCTAGGGGGCGCGCGCGAGCAGAAAAAAATTGCCGTCTGGAGACGGCAACCCGCAGATGCTGCAGTGCCGTCCGTCCGTTTTTTTACTACGGGCGGACGGCAAGAGGTTAAGGAATATCCTAGTTCGCATTATGTCATAACCTACGAATGTATACCTTGGATTTACCTGAATGTTCCAATGTAATGTAAAACAAAAATAAAAATGTTTATTGAATGAAAAAAGTCAAATTTTCAAAGAAGGAATGGCTCTGTGGACGTTTTATAAATACATCCCTTAGCCTAATTACATATTCTTAATGTTAAATGTCTTGTCATTGACTTGTGATTGTATTCAATTGAGATTGTCACTTTATTAAATGAACCTACTGGAAAAAAATAAAATAAAGACTACTGGTTGACATATATAACGGAATGTTTTTATTTAATAGATTTACTTGCCATTTCTCCTTCCTGAGCCTTCCTTAGAACCACTCACTGGTCTTTGTGAACGTACATTTAAATAAAAATGATCATTATGCATTAAGAGTACGTCAGTATGCAGTTGAGGCTCATCCTATGACTTCTCTATTATCCTGAGTAATTTAGGGGTAAGTTGCACAGCTTATAAAACTGTGAACCGTAGATAAGCAAATACAAATTCCATATGGCTTTATCATGCAATCTGCAGAATGAGTTGTGTAAGTCACAGAGGTTAATAAGCAAAGCCCGAGTTTAGTCAGACAGCCATAAATTAACTGAATTATGTTAAGCAATTCTTATCCTTATTCTACTCATCAAGCCTGTTACCAGAGCTAGCATGAATCTGATCAATTAATTTCTCTCTGTTACTGGCGGAGACTTTAACACTGTTTGGTGTGTATAGTCACAATACTTAGTGGAGTGAATATTCAAAGAGCCAACCTCCATGATAAGCAAATATTGTCTAAATAGTAGAGCCATGTGTATTCTTACTTGAATCTTAGATTGCTTTGTGTATTTCTTCCAGATCTGTGTAGTGGTTCAGCATAACACCTTGCCTTTGGACAGGAACTTCCTGTATTAGGGGTAGGTTCACACCTAGGCGATTTAGCTCCTGGATTTAGCCACGTGATATTGCACAAAACAGAGATTTGCATTCAAATCTACGGAAGCTGTTCACACCTTTGCGATTTGTATCGCGGTAGAAATTGCCTGTTGTGCAAAAAGGTGCAGGAGTTATTTTTGGGCGGTTGTCACGTGATTTGGGTCCCATAGACATCTCTATTAGGGATGCACCGACACCACTTTTTTAAGACCGAGTACGAGTACCGATGCTTTTGATCACGTACTCAGTCAGTTTCTTAATATTATGATTCATGAGATGACGAGGGAGCATGACGCCGGCTTCCCGGCCAATCAGAATGCCGGGCGCTGCGTCATTACACGGCACCCGGATTGGCTAGCTTTCTGACCAATCGGGAAGCCCGGGCAGCGCGTCTTTATACGCTACCCGCCTTCCTGATTTGCCAGGAAGTCGGCTCCATGCTCTCTCATCACAAGTTTTCAGCAGAGAGCCTATAGTGGGTAGAGCCTGTTGGATCCTTCCCACAGCTCTGCTGTCTACAGGCATATGCATCCCAATATTGCTCCCACCCTAAGTGCTAAGTGATCACATGATCTGTCCCAGTATTGTTATAAGAGAAAACTGCTGGGAAAGGCAATTTACATTTCACATGAGCAGGAATTGACATTTCTGGGGAAAACCTGTACAGAAGGCACCCAGTTGCCATTGTTATTCACAACATCATTACAATTTTTTTTTTTTTTTTACAATTTTAGAAAAGTTAGATGCAGATTGAAATGCACGGATTATTTTCAAAATATTACTTCTAAAAGATTTCCGTCTGGATTGTATTGGCTTTTGTAGGGCTGTTTTGTATTTTCTTTGTGGATTTTATATTTGCTCTGGATAACTTAGTGTTAATGTCTCACCTGTGTTAAATTTTGCCCCTGTACAAACCATTAGTAAGACCTCATCTAGAAGATGCAGTTCAGTGTTGGGCACCAGTTCACAAAAAGGATGTTGGGGAACTGGAGAAAGTGCAGAAAAAAATGGCAACTAAACTCATAAGAGGCATGGAGGAGCTCAGCTATGAGGAAAGATTAGCTGAACTGAATTTATTCACTCTTGAGAACAGGCGATCAACAGGAGATATGATCACCATGTATAAATGCATAAATGGCCATATAGTGAATTTGGTGCAAAATGATTCACTTATTTGCAAAGGACAAGGGGGCACTCTTTGCGCCTGGAATAAAAGAGGTATAACCTTTGCATACAGAAAGGATGCTCCACAGTTAGAGCTGTGAAAATGAGGAAAAGGCTTCCTTAGGAACCAACACCAGAAATTGTTGATCTGGGGGATAACAATTTGCATTAGGGGATTTGAAAGATTTTTTTCCCCCTGTTGGAGCAAACTGGACAATACTGTAAAGAAGGTTTTTTCCCCCTAGGGATCAACTGTGCGAATAAGGTTCTTTTTAAGGCAGTTTTCTTTTTATTCTTTTTTTTTCTGTTGGTTAAACTTGGTGGACCTTTGTCTTTTACTTACTTAACTAAGTGACTATGTTTGGGGCTGGTATTTTACCTTCTTATAAAAGGTGGCTTGATTGTCTAATCTTCAGCTTAAAAAAGATTCCAATTGGGTCAAAGCGTGTAATTGTTTTTTTTCTGAGGGTTTTACACCAGGAGATATGTGGAAAGGAATGTTCAATCCCCAAATCATGTCAAACATCTAGACTTAGATAAGTGCTTGTGTACTCGCCTGGATGTTGAACAGAGTTTGTATCTGATTTCTGAACTTGATCTGTGCCTTGGAGACATCTATAAACTGAACAGCTGCGGTTTATCTGCTTGGAAATGATATGCAACATTGAGAAACTATTGTGGATTATACCCTGGATTTTTTTAGACAATACCAATTGCTGTATGGCCGATATAGATTTTATTAAATGATATGGCGTAAAGAATGGGTTTTTAATCACAATAATTTACAAAATGATACTAAGTGGTGGAGCCCTGAAGATCCCAAACGTTTATCTCTGCCTCATCAAATTTTCACTTTTCTCCAGAGCCATATTCTAATTAGGATATGGGACGGGAACATATATGGCTAAGCTGCAACAACTTAAATTTCTCTCTTGGAATGCATGAGGTCTCCATGAACTTGACAAATGGAAGACCTTGATCTGTGCTCTAGCGAAATACACTGTCTGGCCAAAAAAAAAAGTCACCACCTGGAGTTAGCTAAGGAAATAGGTAAGAGCCTTCCATTGGAAAATTAGTCTAGGTTCAGCAACATTATGTCCCCAGAAAATGAGGTCAGCTGCCTACCTGAATATACAGAATGACCAGGTTTTTCCATCAATTGATTTTTTTTTTTTCTTCCATGCTGGCACAGGCATATTTCAAGATGACAATGCCAAGATTAATCGGGCTCATATTGTGAAAGAGTGGTTCAGGGGGCATGAGACATAATTTTCAGTGTTTCACACATGGATTGGCCACCACAGAGTCCAGACCTTAACCTCATTGAGAATCTTTGGGATGTGCTGGAGAAGACTTTACACAGTTGTCCGACTCTCCGATCATCAGTACAAGATCTTGGTGAAAAATTAATGCAACTCTGTTGGGATATTGCATAAGCTTATCGAAACGATGCCATGGTGAATGTGTGCTATACTCAAAGCTAAACGAAATATTAGAGTATGTGACTTTTTTTTGGCCAGGCAATGTATTAATCAACTAATGTGTGCTTGCAGGAGACACATTTAATAAAAGACACCACTGATCTCATTGTAGATCAGAAATCAAAATTCTATTATTTTTGTCATACCTCTTATTCATAATATCCTTATTCACAAAACTATACCAGTCACCGGCAGGCATACTAAAACAGATGTGTTTACCTTTTTGCATTGTACGGTGGGCATTGCTTTATTTGTGCTAATTTGTACACCCCGCCCCTTACTCAGCCAAAGTATTCAAACAATTTGCATGATTCTGGGTAATGTCTAGGAACTTGTTTGTGATTGTTCTCAGATACCTAGTGTTATGGACCCATCTAAAGATAGATTTGGCACTGTTTGGGTGTTTCTAGCTGCCCCCTTTACCTTACTAGTACTCCAGGTGAGGGCACCGGGCCTAGTTAACATCTGGCATATCCCTCATTCAACTGTCAGCCAATATAGCTGTTGCTATCCCACTCATGGAATGCTCTGAAGAACAGAGAGCACTGGGAAAGAAAAGCCTTTCTTGTTACTGGTCATCATTTTACCATTCATTGTACATCATAGTACATGGGGCAGAGAAGAGGGGAGAGGAAGCACATGTAATTTAACCTTCTGGAGCCGCCCCTCACGTTGATGAAAATAATCTCATGGAGCAGCTTCCAGGTGAACAGCTTTTTCTCCGGAAACCAACAGAGCAGGTGCACAGGCGTAACA